CCCCCCCCCCCCCCCTCCGCCCCTGCTGACATACACTGCATCTATGGGGAATCTCGACGATCGCTTCAAATCGATGGAGACCCATATGTGCGCCATGCGGAGTAATGTTGGGCAGAGGTTGGGTGTTGCCAGAATGTGATTCTCCGACCGTTTTTGCTTCTACGCGCGCTGACTTTGGAGTGGATTTTCTGCCAAATCAGCCTAAGTTATGGTCGGTTGCTGTTTGGGATATGTAGAGGGCAGTGTGGTCTTCATGTTGGTGTGTTGGTCCGGTGGACATGGTAGCCGGAAAGTGGTGTTCTTGCAGGATCATCTTCAATTTGGGCAGTGATACTGTGAGTTCCAGGGTTGTCTCCAGTGTTTCTCCGAGCTTTGAATTGAAATTCTTTCCTCAATTCCATCCAAATGTTGTTCTTAAAATGAAACGCATTTCACAGGAGTTTTTCTCTTTACCTTTTCATTGATTTTTGCTCAGTTATTTGGTTTTTCATCTTTTCTATGTTTTCATATCTTGATTTTGATGGTGGGATATCTTGTGTTTACGTATGAAACAATTATGTTTCGAAAAGGAGAAGTCAAATACTGGAATCAAGGATTTGGGACGACAAAGAAAAGTGACTGTGCTCTTCCGTGACAAAGCTTACTGAGATTATAAGCTAGAGTGTCCTATACGATTAAAAATGAAATCTGACCTTAGAATGTGGAAAAAAAATTACCAAACAATAGCTTTATGAACTGTAAACTGGAGTGTACTCTAATGAATTAAACATATTAGGTGTATATCAATTCATAGCTGTTTATCATGGCAATGGAGTCTACACAAAGTAATAAAATAACAATTGGATAAATGGGCATATATCAGCATCAACAATCACCAGTTCCAGCTCCGTGCAACACCGAGCTGCACGGAGACAGCTCCCAGCTCCATGCAGCACGGAGCTGGAACGAAAAATTATCTACAACCTATGGACAGAAGGCTAATTGAGGTTGCTCGTAAGGGAGATGTTCATCAGTTGCAAAATCTGATCGAAGACGATCCTTTCCTGATGAAGGCTGTAGCATTATTAGGTCGAGAAACTCCGTTGCATATTGCTTGTATGGTAGGAAACCTGAGTTCTACGAAAGAGGTTCCAAATCTTGAGTCCAGAATTCGCAAAAGATTTGAGCCATGACGGCTTCAGTCCCCTGCATATTGCTGCAGCTAATGGGGATTTAGAGATCGTAAAAGAGCTCCTGAAAATAGGTGATAGTTTGTGTCTGGTTAAGGGAAAGGAAGAGTTCCCCTACACTATGCAGTGATCAAAGGCAGAATACAAGTCATTAAAGAACTGCTTTCAGCCTGTGAAGATACCCGAATCTGCCGAGATGGATACTGCCTTAAGTTCACAAAATCTTTCAAAACCAACAAAAAGGACGTGTCTCACACCCCTATCTGATTTTAGTAACCCAATTATGGCTCAGGTAACAACTCCCCTTTTTATTTTTGGTTCAAAGACTAATCGAATTATTAGAATTTTAGATTTGTTATGGTTAAAATGAATGTGACACAAGGTTTATTGATCTTTGTCTCCGGGACCTCCCTCAGGCACCCCGAGTTTAGCAAGGTATTAGGGGTGTTCAACTGTCCTCAAAGTAGGTACTCATGGAGATAATATGGTCTCTGGGTAACTTAATGCAGAGGGTGCAGTTTGAGTTATATAGCAATTTCGATGTAATAGGTTACTGTCTTATCTATGATATATTATTATTTATTTATTTCTAAAGTAGTTAAGTGAAGGATGTATTTTTCCTATATTCCTTGTTCTTGCACACCGTATGTTGGACTTGAGCCAGTCAATTAAAGGTCATTGTATCTATTTTGGTCGTCAACATTTGATCTTAGCAACTTTTTTCTTCCTATTGTTCATAGTTTTGCCTTCTTTTTTTAAGTTTATGACATTTCATCAGGCTGCTTTTCTCTCCACTTTGGTTGGAGTAGATGTTGCAGAAGTGGCAACACGTGCTGCTTTAGCTGCTCTGTCTGCTCTTGAGGACATAAAACTTAAAAGAGAGTTTGAAAGTTTCCTCTAGTGCTTCCAAACAGCAAGGTAGGAACTATCCATTGCGATTTATGGATCAGACAGGAAATCTAATACTTTTATGTTAAAGTCCTTGAGTTCTATTGAAATTTGCATCAGTTGATTTTCTTTAATATTTCAATAGATGAGCTAATAGTATTATTTTACATATTTCAAAATGAGGGGAAAGAAAAAGACAAGTTGACTACTATTCTATTTGACACCCTAACTGCCTAACATGTCTATTCTGTTGGATCTGGCATTGAATTAAAATTGTCTGAATTGATAGTGTCTTTTTACATGTTAATGGTCCCTCTTCTTGGAAACTTCGTGTTGGTCCTTTTGTAATTTCATGAATGAAAAGATCCTTTTTGTTAAATCTAGATATAACAATTGCGACCAAGGCACGCACTATGCATGTGCTGCTAAGAGTAAGTGTTATTGAATGAAAAAAAAAATATTATGAAATTTCTGAATAATGAAAATGACTCATTTTTGCGACATGACTGATCAAAATGAAAGGCTTATTTGCTACGATAATAATAATGTGTAATGATGTCAACTAACTTATGCTAAAAATTAACACACTGAGACCTTTTATGATTCAATATCCACAATCATCTCTGAAGTTCTAAAAGAAAGGAAAAACAAAATAGGTACTCCACATATTAGTATATCTTAAACGTGTTGTTGAGTCTCAGAGGGATTATTTATAGGTGAATAGATTATCACAGATTATGAAAAATAAAATAGGTACTCCACATATTACTGTATCTTAAACGTGTTGTTGAGTGTCAGAGGGATTATTTGTGGAATGAATTGATTATCACATATTATGAAAAACTATTAAGTGCACCTCAAAAATCATGATAATTTGGAATGTGCAACATTTTAAGTAGACAAACAAAGCTGAAATATACTATAAATTATCCGTTGTTAATCATTCCCATGAGTTCTCATGTCTTAACATCCCCAACGGTTTGCAAGGTTCCACTCTTTTGCTTTTTTCTTCTTTGCATTTTATAAATGATAGGTAGTCTGGCCGACGACACAAGAAATTTTTTGGCTTCTGCGTTTTTAATTTTTTTGCTTTGGAATGCAAGGCTTGCAAGTTCTCCAGCATATTATGGATGATTTCATTTCATTTACATTTAAGCTAGAGGATCATCTACAATGCTCTTTATTTATCTTTTCCCTCTTTTTTTGGTCCAAGAAATGATGTTAATCCACTGTCATTTGACTTTTTTGTACTTTACGTTTGCGTGTGAAAAGGAGAAAGTAAAATAGTGACATGTTTACATTGGTTGAATAAAAAAATATAAGGATAAGGCTACATAAAAAAAAAATCACGTGGCATGGATTCTCAAAATTTTGAGAATGGAGAGATCCTCTCCTTGCAGCAAGGAGAGAATCTATCCATTCTATATGGAGAATTTCTTTCCATGCTGCACGGAGAGATGATATTTTATTTTTTTCTTTTTTAATAGTGGGTTTGTTTTTCACTTTGGTTTTTATTTGTAATGTTCATATCAATAGTGGATGCATGTTCATTTTTTTAGGAGTGGGTCTTCTTTTACTGTTCATATGAACTGCGCTTTCCAATGTTGCCTCTAAACATTTAACAACTTATAAGAAAATTTTATGTAATGAATGCTTGACATAAATACTTTTTTTTATACATACGTTATTACGTAGTCAATTACATCATGGCACGTGTCTTGCACGTGATTCTCACTAGTTCTTTATAAAAATCTGTGAAATAACAAATATATCACCTTATTTAAATCGAACAAAAAGAAAACAATAAAGAACTAATTGCAGCCATATGTCCTAATTTTTCAAAAATTACAGATGAGTCTCAAACAAATAATTTAAAATCAAAACCAAAAACAAAAATAACTTCATCATATCATCCCATCCCACCCTAACCAAAAATAAAAATAAAATGGAACTGCCGGCCTCCATCTAGCCAACCACCACCTAAAGTGTCTGCACTTACACCACAAACGGCCACCATCAACCCCTAAACACTTTTCCATAAATTAATTGAACAAACAACATATTTATATGGTCAAAATCAACCAAAAATGTAGCTGGTCCCACGAACACACACGTTGCCTTTCTCCATAAATTTCAGCGTCGGTAGTGGTTTCCACCATCACAGACCACCCATTCCGACTTCACCACATCACGTCGCAACTGCTACAACAATGGGCTTCCATCAGTTTCATCCTTTTTTTAAAATTTTTTAGTTTAACGCTATTCCCCTTGCAAATGGTGACAAGTACTCCGAAAATGTAGTGGGCTAGGTTTAACAGTACATTGTAATGTACTAAACTAGAAAGTTGAAACTGGAAACGTAGTCAATTGGGGTGGGATGGGGGAGGAGGATAAAGTTATTTTTGTTTTTGGTTTTGATTTTTAATTATTTGTTTGGGACTCATTTGTAATTTCTAAAAAATTGGGCATATAGTTGCAATTAGTTCATTATTATTTTTTTCTTTTCATTTATTTAAATAAGAGAGTATATTTGTCATTTCATAGATCTTTATAGAGAAAATGGATGAAAATTGAGAAAAATGATGTTTTTTGTAATGAAATGTGGAAATATGGGTGAAAATGTAAAAAATTGAAATGAATGAACGTTTTGCACACTAAATGCCAAACGTATAGACATTTTATACTAATAAACCATGACGATCTTTTCAAGTTAATTTCACCAACTGCTTAAAGCATAGATAATCAAGGGAAGAATCACACTAGGATCTATTCATGACAAAAAACGTATTCACAGTTTTAACGTCGGGTAATTAGTACATAATATCCCCCACATTTCACTATTATTGTGGAAAATATCATTACCTTTCATTTTTTGGCATTTTCGCTCTTATTTTTACCTTTTTATTGAGCAAAAGGTCATTTTCAACCATTTTCTCAATTAAAAATTGTGAAATGACAATTATACCCATCTCTTTAAATAAAACAAAATGAAAAAGAAAAAACTAATTGCAACCATTATCCCAATTTTTTTCAAAAAGCAAATGAGTCGCAAATAAATTTTTAAAATGGTAATTAGCATACATACCTTTTATTTTTTTAGCATTTTATCTCTTAATTATAATTTAATTTCTCAATAAAAAGCTATGAAATTATGAATATATCCTCCTATTTAAAAAAAAAAAATTAATTTTCAATAAATTATTTGAGACTCGTTTGCACTTTTTTAAAAAAAAAAACTTAATTTCTAATTTTTTAAATAATTTATTTGGGACTCATTTGCACTTTTTCAAAAAAAAAAATTTCTAATTTTTTAGTAATTTATTTAGGACTTTCACTTTTTTAAAAAAATTGGGACCATAGTTACAATTTATTCTTTAGTTTTTTTATTTTAATAGGAGGGTATATTCATCATTTCACAGTTCTTTATTGAGAAATTGGATGAAAATAGATAGAAATGATGGTTTACACTATCAAATGTGTAATTAAAGGTGAAAATGTCAAAAAAGAAAGGTATGAACGTTTTTCGCAAAAATAGTAATAGGTAAGGACATTATGTTATAATTACCATTTGAATAATTTATTTTCCATTTGATCTTATTAAAAAAATTGAAACTATGGTTACAATTCGTTATTTCTTTTTTTTTTTTTTATTTAAAGAAAATGGTATATTCATCATTTTACATTTTTTTAATTGAAAAAAATAGATGAAAATGACCTTTTGCATAATAAAATGTGGGAAATAAGGGTGGAAATGCCAAAAATGAAGGGTTAAGAAAGTTTTCCAAAATAAGAGTGAAAGGTGGGGACGTTATATGCTAATTACCCTGTTAACGTCCCTTGATAGCACAATCAAGATTCATGGCATCTCCCTTAAGCCAAACCTGCATAGAATGCATTCATGAGAACATTTTCTAAACCAGTGCAATATTGATCACTTGGAAATAGATATGTATAATTAACAACCTGGTAGCTCCATTTTGGCCAGGACAAGTCCCATTTGCCCTGGTCAAGTACATGCAGTGCAATTGGAGCACTAGCGGAGTTAGCACCCGACGAGCCAGCACAGCTACCCGTGTTGGCTCCGTCGAAATTTACAGGTTTGGCAAATCGCTCGCCGTTCGAGTTGTTATGAGGGGTTTCAGAGGCAGATCCAGGAAATGATTTTGGGGCGAGCTAAAATTTAAAAATTCTAAATAAACTCATGCTATAAGAAATCGAGTTTAGGAGACTACACTCACTACAATTCTGATAAACAACATCTGACACTCAATGAAGTACAAATCTATATTCTCACCCTAAGATGTCTCACTACATATTCGTACTTTTTCTTGTGAAATACATATCGACGCTCACCTTAGAAAATATAAACCGATAGAAGCGCGATAAATGTAAGCAAATGATATATATCCATCAATCAAAAGCTAAAAAAATACTCAAGAATTTTACTACCATTTGCTTCAAACAACTGAAAGTTTTGGTAAAAAAAAAAATACATTATTATATGTCACCATTTTCAAAATATTATCTAATGTGGGCATCAATCTTCTATACCAACACATTCTACCATGAGCAAAGAATCCACCCAAAGTCAAAAAAGACAAGAAATTTCGAGGGTAAAACATTTTTATTTCTTTAACATCCATTTTTTATTCAAGTTCTATAATATACATATGATCTTATTAATTATAAACAAATAAGTTCTTATAAATATATTTTTTATTGTAAGATTAAATATAAAGTAAATTATTTATTTTGTTAGTAACATCAATATTATGGTCAAAATAAGTAAGTTTCTTTCTTGTAAGCTTAACCAAACATTTATTAGAAAAATAAGCAATTTATTTTAAATCTAATCAATACAGTTTTATTTATTATTTTATATATAATTATACGTAAAACATGCATTAAATAAAAATCTAATTTGGTAATAAAAATTTTCACATTTTATTAATATCATGAAGAATATTTGGATAATTGGGCTTGGGCTATGACGCTATGACTCAATATGAAGT